TAGCAGCCGGGTAGTTGCCTAATATGTAAATTAGATAGTTAATTTTGTAAATTACAAAAACTCTAATAAATTAGTGCAAAGTTATCAAAGGAAAAAAAAAAAAAAAAATACTTTACTAAACTTGCCCATCTCTACTTTTATGTTTGTTATTACAGTATTAAGGTCTGTTAGTTGGCAAGAACAACCTTCATTTAATTTTCGTATAGACTAATATACCAAATATACTGACATGTATTCAAGTGAAATCTTAATTTTAAATACATTAATATTGTAGTATCATTTAGGATGCAATCACAAAAATAGAATCATTATTACTATATTATTTGTCTATTGTCTAGTGATTCAATTAAACACCATTACAGTCATACCTGAGCTATATCTCTATTGGTTATATCCTAATCTAAGTTAAATCTTTATTTTTAGCAGAATAAATTTCCTATATTAATTTTACTTTATTTATAGGATTTTAAAAAATGGTGCACCCTTTATCACGTGATCAACATAATTGACATATAATATGATGGTAATATTTTATTAAAAATATATGTACGTACTAATATAGTTATAAAAAATATACGTACTAATGTAGTCATTTAAAAATTTTTATTTATACAAATTATCACAATTTAAGCATCATTGCTTTTAAACAAACATACTAGCTTAAACTAACTATTATGTCCCAAACTTGATCCTAACCCTAACTAACTGTTGCACAACAGTATCAACAAATTCACACAAACTCAACAAAATTTTCCATTAACCACACATAAAGCATAACAGCAAATTCACACCAACAATGTATATACAATGCATCCACGATGAAGTAATTAAATCCATCAACAAGTAACATAGCACTCAAAGCAATACCTACTAAGAAATAATAAATCAAAGTAAAATCGAAATACAAAACGAAAGCGACAATGTCGAAAATAATCTAAGAAATTCTGAAAGTACCCTTAACAGCACTTATAAAGCGAAAAGAAATATTAACAACACATTTATTAACAAAAAAAAAATCCTACTTTTCGGAACTACAAGAAAATTCAAAAACACTTATAACAAGACCTAGAAAACATAGTGAAAGTTAGTAATAGATCTAAAAAAAGTAATAGCCACAAGCTGGAAAACAAAAATAACAAATAAAAACTACTCTAACCCTAACCGCTAACCAAAATAACCCACCCTAACCCTAACCTCTAACTAAAACAACTTACCCTAACCCCACACTAACCCTAAATCTAACCTAACTCCAACAATCCCAATTTTTAAATAAGCGCAGCATGTCAACAAAATCATGCCGACAACAAACAAGGCACAATTCACACCAACGACACTGAAAGTATGGTGTAACTAGAGAAATTACGGTATAAAGCAACAAAATAAGTGACACAAAACAAGTAGCAAAGCAGCAAAGCAAGCAATATAAAGCAAATGGAAGCAGCAAAGCAAATAAATCACAGCACCTAAATAACGGATCCACACCAAGACGATGACACCCAAAGGATAACAACAGCGACGACACCCAAAGGATAACAACAGTAACGACACTATGAAACGTGACAAACTATCTGGAAAATAGTATATAAAAAAAAATAATAAATGTTAGTACAAAAAAAAAAAGCAAAAAAAAAAAAGTACAGTTTAAAAAAAAAACAGTGATTATCGATGATCGCTGATTGTATATATACCCTGTGATCAGGGGTGCACCAAAATATAATTCTCATATTTATATCTTATTTTATATTAATTTTTTAAATATTTACCAATTGATAATCTTTTATCCAGCAACCCGATTTGGATGATTTTACTACCAAAAATGACCATCTCAATGAGACGATTTCCTCAAATCACTCATACCCAGTTATTGGATCCAGAAAACATCAGGATTTTTAGAATATATATATATTAAGTACAGTATGATTATTAATTTAATACCATATGATACAATACGATATGATTATCAGTTGATCACTAGTATGTACGTACTTGACCATTATGGCATTTTTTATGCCATAAACATTACACAAATAGTTAAATTACATATATATAGCTTGTATACTATGTATAAATTAGATAATAAATAAATATATACAATGCTTGCTTGTTGTAAATCTAAACCTTTTTTAGTCCAATTTCCTTATTGAAAAATTTGTGAAATAGCAATACTGATAACAATGGAAGCTCCAAATTCAAAATTTTCTTCGACTATTACTAAATATCAATCAGAAGTAATAGTGTTATCTGACACAGATAATGAGTTATTAATGGTGATAATTGTATTTAAAATTAATAGTAATTTAGTAAAATTTATAGACTGTATTATAATAAGTATTATTATATTATTAAAAAGGCAAATAATTCCTCTACTTCAGGGGTAGTAACAAGCAACAATAGAGGCATCCAAAGGCAATTGAGCATTTTATCAAGTGGATCATATAAAACAAATGATTCTGGTAGCATTTTTAATGCCTCTTTATGTTCTAATTTGCCATCTGTTGAAGAAGTTGATTCTTTTTATAAAGTAATAAAATATTTTATTTATACTATTCAACTTTCAATTTAATTTATAACTATATTATTAATTTAAATATTATATTTTTTAATAAATAGAATTCAAGCAATATAATGTCTTATAATAATAAAGATGTAGATAGTGTAGTTAGTTATAGTTTAGATAGTGAAATTGTTGTGCTTAATAGTAGTTTAAAAAACAATATAATTAATAGTAGCTTTGAGACGAATAATGAAAGTGATCTATATAATCTAGTAAGTAAAATATTAATTTATTATTGCTATTTAATAAAATAAAAATTATTTATTTTTATATAAATTAAATTATTATTAGCCAACATTTGCGCAATTTGGTCAAAATTTAAGTGTTGATCAAATTGAGTATTTTCCTGAATTTCAAGAATATCCAAAAACTTCATCTACCAGAGTTGCAAGTGTGTATAATGTTTCTGGATGGAAACTAGATGATGCAAAAAAAGCATTTGGAATTGCCAATCTTCAGTATTCTTATAAAAACCCTAGAACTATTCAATCAATTAAAAAATATCCATTCTTGGGTGTATCTATTTGCAAAACTTATCGTTCATGCCTTGGTGTAAAAGTATGTGAATTTGGTTCGCCAGAACTCAATATTGAATATACAGTTGTTGACTTTGAGAGTCAGCTATATAAGAAGATTTTTGATACAAATAAATCTTCAAGTAACACTATTACTCTTAAGTAAGTATAAATATTAATTTAAATTATTTTATATATTAATTTATTAAAATTTTATTTAATTTTAGTACTTTTGGTTAAGCTTATAATACCCCGTGCCTTTATATTGATCCAGTTACTAATATATAATGCAATGACAAACTAGTTCTTAAAGAATATAAGAAGGTAATCTTTTATATTTAATTTTTTTTTTTTTTTTCCCTTTGATAACCTCGCACTAATTTATTAGAATTTTTGTAACATACAAAATTTACGTATTAGGTATAAACCCAGCTGCTATAAAGTGTTCAAATATAGTTACTACACTGATATTTGCCAACAAGCTCTACATACGGTGCTACCCACATTTAAAAACCTGCTATAGCATGGTACTTAGCTACCTAAATTCGAACCGATTATATTTTACCTTTTTTCTAAACTTCTTCCACCAATGTGTAGAATATATTTTCTCCTACTTCTGTGTAGTGCTAACATATATGCCAATTTATAAAAGAAAGACTTCTTTTAAAAGCCGATCCTTTTTTTCGAGTTATCCCACCTTGAATTTTGGTAATATCTTCCCGAACTCAACCTACTTAAATTCTAGCAGATTATACATATTACCTCCTACTTCTATATAAGACTAACATATATATAAATATTATCCCTTAAACTGTATTCCAGGCAAATTTGCCTGGAAAATTGAAAAGTATTTACAAATTTTTAAATAAAATT